AAGTTAAGTTTGGACTAATCAGATGATCAAAATCAGAAAGAAACTGTGAAGTAAGCATTGTAAAATTCATAACTATGAGAACTCCTTTAACGGATATCAACACGATTTTAATAAATACTTTCGCTTGATTGTCTGTGTGATGTATCATCTATCATCAACTGTATTCACAGCTGTCTGAACTAGATACAATGAGAATAATGAGTAACTTCTGTTGCTGTCTTTGTTTTAATAATCTTGAAACTTGAAGAAAAAAAAATTCCACAAAAAATTTGTCTTTTTAGATGAGTCTCTGTAATTTCGCCAATTGTGAAGTTGGCCAACGGTATATTCGCCATTGGCGAACTTCCCCACGAAATTCGCCAATTGGCGAATTACTAGTTGATATTCGCCAATTGGCAAAAACAAATTTAACTTCCTGTTCGCCAACTGGCGAATTTCCTCACGAAATTCGCCAATTGGCATCAATGGAATTATGACTCGACCAAGTTTACGGGCTAAAATATACTTTGATAGTTATGTTATCTGTCAAGATACATTTTGTTAACTTAAACTTTATTTTAAACTTCTTTTATTTCAAGTAAGAAATGAACTAGGGTGTGGATGTGGGTGTGGGGTGTGGGGGTGTGGGTGTGGGTGTGAGGGTGTGGGTGTGTGTGTGCGTGTGAGTGTGGGTGTGGGGTGTGGGTATTTTTCTTCAAAACACCCTGACACCCACACCCACACCGCTGAAAGTTTCGTGAAAGTTCCATGTACCAGGACCGAGATTGATGGGGACCTCAAGTCTCTAGCAGTACAATTTTTGTTAGTCTCGGAAAACTATGATGCTAATTGATCTTTCGAAATTTTGTTTTTTATGAATAATATTGTCTTCGTAAGAACTATAAATGCTGAAATTTTCAGCTTTCTTTGATCATTTTTTATATACAATGTCCAGTATCCAATGGATTAGCCCTGCAGTGTCCCAGAACTTTTGGCCAATGGACTAACATTTAAACTTATATAACTTTCTACAGAAGCTTTCAATTCATAATGCTATAATAGTATATGAAAGGCCTCTGTTAGATCTATCAAAGCACACCACCATTGGCTCATGATAGATTCATAACCGAAAGTTATAAAAGGGAAAAGTTTGTCCCAGAACTTTTGTCCAGCACTGTATAGTGACCAATCGCGTATGGTCAAGTGCGGACTATTTTTAATGTAAAAAATGACCACAGAGTGCGTTGTGCTCCAGTTCGATTTTTATGTATCTGCATGTAATGTATGGCACATGTCCGAGGGTCTCTATAATTTTGTCAATTGTGAAGTTGGCCAACGGTATGTTAGCCAATTGGCGAATTACTAGTATGACATTTGCCAATAAAAAAAATAAATTTGATTTACTGTTTGGCCAATTGGCGAATGTCGTGGGGAAATTCGCCAATTGGCGAATTACTAGTTGATATTCGCCAATTGGCAAAAAATACAATTGGCGAAAACAGGAATTGGCATTAAGATATTTCCCCTTTTAGATGTTTTCTGTGAGAAAATGGAATGATCATATTGAAGATCAGAAAACAGATGCTATCGTTTGAACGAGTATTTTCTGATTTTCATTTCGCGACAGAAATTGACAAATTTTGATGCCTACGTCAAGAATTAAAATCTATTGATTTTGAGAATTGAATACTAACAATTGAATGTGATCTTAATATGGAAATATATGTATGAAATTATATATTAAAAGATGGCTATGTTTTGGTTTGTCGAAGAAATTGTAAAATACTACTTTTGTTTCTAGTATCAAATTCATTGACTGAATATAACTCAATAAAAAGCTAGCTTGGAAGATCTGTTTCTTGAAGATAAAATGAAGAAGTTTATAAAAGATTTATTTTTATTTATTTCCACAAATATTTTTCCATATTGGATGTCACTGTTTGAATTCTGTCGTGAAAATAATTTTGATTTATTTGTTTCACTAAATTATATATATGAAAATCCATTAAAATCTTCATTGTTATGCAAAATAATCTTGCAACAATGATCTGAAATCTTATATTTAAATACCTGTATTTGATGTGAAAAGAAGCAGAGAATAGAATAAATTATTTATAGTTTAGCTAATCATTGAGGTGACTTACACTCATACTCTCACAAAGTTATGAACTTTTGACGCCACCTTATGTTTCAAATTCTACTGGAAGAAATAATATCATATCACATCCAGACCAACAATTGGGATTTGACGTAGCCTGCCAGGCAGCAGACCAGACTGACAGCTCTGTTTCACACTACAAAATACTGATATCTACAGGCAATTTTATCAAAAAAGATCAATTAACATAAAAGTAACTTAGGAGACAGTTCATGACTCAATTGAGAAATTGGGTCACACGAAAAATTTTAATATAGCTTTTTTATAATTGAAAATTAAAGAGCATGTAAAAAAGACCTATCAGTCTAAAACTTTAGTCTTCTTTTAAAAGAAGACTAAAGTTTTAGACTTATAGGCTTTTTTTTACATGTTCTTTCATTCACAATGATAAAAAAGCTATATTAAAATTTTTCGCATGACAGCCTATAGTAAATATACTCAATTCAGTCACAGGCCCTCTCTTAAAAAACTCATTGTAGATAATTCTGTAGTGTCTATACCTAGATTTTAAATACCGTTAAATTCAAATATCTCAGTCATGATACGCCAAAGTCATAGGGACCGTCAGTTTCGGTTAATAAAAAAAACGATTGCAATTTCGTTTCCTAAAAAGTATCTTTGGAATTGGTGATCTAATAATAGTATACCAGATAAATGATATAACTACTTTTTTAGCTAGAAGTTCCTAAGTTAAATTGCATTTTTCGGAATTGTTAATGTCTATTATTTTTGAAAAAGCAATTTCCTCGAAATATAAAACAACAAAAAGAAAGAATAGGAAAATCATGACTGTTAATCAGTTATATAATCTTTTCGTTGACAAAGAATTATATTGAAGTGAAACTTTATGCAAACATTAGGGATGCCTAGTTACATATAGAAAGAAACTTCAGCTCTATACCTCATTCTTAGTATGATCTAGAGCAATTTTAGTATATTGCTAATACCCATTTTTGGTGTCTATCGCATCTTCAATGATATTTAGCCAACTCAACTGAAAAAGTTTATTCTTTTTCTTTATTCAACAGAAGATACTGATGTCTAGTAACTCTCGCAACTCGTTGTCTGATTTTCTTCTTTCGCTAGTCTTGAGGCATAAAAATTTAGTCAATAGAAAAACTTAGTAAAGTTGAGCAATTTTATGAAAGAAAGTCAAGTTTTAATAACATTTTGTTCAAAAGAAAATAATTTTTTTCCTTGACGAAGGTCACTTTTAAAAAAAAGAGCTTTCAAACAAAAAAAATATTTCAATTTATCTCTTGCTGTAATAGAATACCAATGAAGACGCGTCATTGAACATCTGTTGTAAGAAAAACCAACCGTTTTAGGCAAAACACCTCGCTTTTAACAGGACATGGCTCAAAGTTATAATTATTATGAAAGTGCATATCGGAGTATCTGATCATCCCTTCTCTGAAAAAGTGATTTTTTTGACGATGCTAGATTTTTTCAGGAATCTTAATCATAGTTTTAGCTATTTTTGACTTCTCTTTGCGTCCAATTGTGAAAAATATCCATAGTTTACTGCTGAAGTAATCGCAGATTGGTCTCTCCGACTTCAGATTATGCAACACTTGAGCGGCTCCACAGTTATCAGTATAAAAGGCATTGGTTCTAACGGTTCACCCTCCAATTCGGCTCTCGATTCTATTGTTTTTTCAGAACTCCCGGGCTCTACAACGACAGCTCAGGTTCCAAGTTTGTAAATTTGAGAGTGAGAACTTTATTCTAACTGAAATATGGTCGATCTTATTAATTCGCAATACAAACACCTCCATGCTAAGTATAGAAGTGTAAGGATATAATCATAAGGATATGGTGTTTACGGTATACGATAGATGGGGATGTAAATGAACACTATATCCATGACCACATCGACACCCTTATGCCTTAGTGACTGTTTGAAAGATTTTGATACTTTACAAGACTTTTCAGAATAAATAACCATGTGTTAAACATCTAAAACGTTTTTGGTAAAATCGTTTGCGAATCATTGGGCCCGTAGGCAAAGGATCAATAAGAATGCTTTCGCAAACGTTGCGCTACTTGTTGTACATTCTGTGGAGAATTATTCACAATACACGAATAGCTTATTTTATTGAGTAACGCCTGGAGGAGATGATAACAAAGATTTAAATAATGAGTATCGCTCTTTATCACCTTGCTCTAGAAGGCTATTCTTTTTCGTTCTTTTTTTTCCACTACTGGAGAGAAAGAATAAGCTTATCAGTTGAATGTACTGATAAACTAGTGCACCATAGTTGCAACATGGTGCGCCATTACATTGATACATTCAAGTTTTTCTTCCACTTGCTTTTCGCTCATGGAAAATTCATTGCCAACCTTTTTCACCAACGACTTGCATTATAATACACTAGAAAACATGCATTAATTACTACTAAAGCATATGCAACTGCGTCAACATTTATAAGAACAGCTCATCGACGTAGTCATTCTAAACAAAGGGTTCTTCAGACCCACTTCTAACTTTGAGGCGTCACATTACGTGCAAACATAGGCGACAGAATAGGGAGCTCTTTAAACTCGAGCCCCCTGTGGTTTTTGAAAATTTGGCACAAAATACATTTTTCTTTCCGTAGACTCGCGAAAGAAGCATGTGAGTTCCCCTACCGTCCAAAAAAACAATTGATAAGCTCTGCTAACTCAAAATTTATTCGGCCGTTTCTACTTGTAAACAATACCTTTCAATTTTCACATTGCCAAGATAAGAGTTACGTCAGATTACCTGCCTTCCTTTGTGATTTCAGAAATAAATACTTAGATTTTTTCATATATCATCGGTTCTTTGTGACTTTGAGATATGAGTTCAGTTTCGTACTTCTTGTTCTGGCTCTTGGCGGTGATGAAATTAATACAAGCTAAATCTTTCGCGCAAGGTATGTTTTTTTGTCTCTTGATTATTCACCAATTAACCTGCTCGTTCGCAGTTGAAGAATCTCCACTTCGGTCATTCTTTCGGCACATTGATTTAAATGGCAACGATGAACTTGATCTACATGAATTACAACATTTCTTTCATAACATCGAACCAGAAGATCCTATTGTAGACCCTAACCATCTGATCCATACCATGAAGCGTGTCATGAAACAAGAGATACAGAAGGAAGAAAAGTCTTACACTATTTCTTGGCAGCAATTTCGAGCAAACTACGCAGCACTTGATATTCTCACGAAGAAAGGTGTTCCACAAGTTCGTATTTTATACTTGACTTTTGTTGAGTATTTCTCTCTTCTTCTTAGCAAGTCCACCTATCTCTGCTTGCTGATGGTACTTGGTCCACTGTGGTGGTTGTATGGATTATAAAGGGTGGTAAGGATGAGCAACAACCGCCTTCGTTCGTGCGTTACGGAAATGCGAGCGGCAGATACAGCTTCCAACAGGTGGCGAAGAACAGAACTTACGATGTCGGAATCGGAGGATGGAAGGGAACCATCTATGAGGCTTGGATGACGAGTTTAGACCAATGTCAGACATACTATTACAAGTAATATTAGATGCTTCAATCACTCACCCATTCAAACCATTTGTTATTCATTCAGGGTTGGAAACTCCAAAGCATGGTCAAACGAGATCAGCTTCAAAACAGACTGCCCTGCCGTCACGACGCATACATTTGCTGTCATGGGTGACATGGGCACTGTCATTCCGGCTGGTTATCTTGTGGCTAAGCAAATCAAAGAGGACCATCAGGTCACACCATTCTCGGCTGTCGTGCATGTGGGCGACATTAGTTATGCTGGTACCGGCTCAAAGGATGAGATAGCGGTAAATCGAGAAAAATCGTGAATGACTTCTACTACTGTCTCTCTTTTGTCCTTCTAGGAAATTTGGGACATATGGGGAACGCAGGTAGAACCCATCTCATCCATAGTGCCGTACATGACAAATGTGGGCAATCACGAGGCTTATTATAATTTTACAGTCTATCGCAACCGATTCCGCATGCCAGGTCCCGAAAGTGATGGTCTCGACAACTTTTGGTTCAGCTTCAATATTGGACCCATTCATTGGGTCTCAATGAGCTCACAGGTCGGCTACCACTAGTTGATTGATGCGCTTTTTCCTAGACTGACAGGAAAATGAAATGCTCGATGGATGACTGAGTTAGATGTTCGAATGACCATATTCCTATTTTTTGAATTACGATATTGCTTTTTTCTTTGATATGCCTCATTTTACAAAAAGATTCCGATACTTATGCCGTCAGTAGACATTTCATAACGTTATGTTCCACCTATTTTGCTCTTGTGCTAAAAATATTGTCAGAAAACAAAAACCGCGGAAAAGTTTTTTCTAGACAACGGGAATCTCTTTAAAAAGTTGAGGATGTTCGATCTTGAAATAAAAGTATTTCAGTCCTACTTGTCAGATTTAGGGCATGTTAAAATGGACATATATTCACCGTTCAAACTCATATCTATTCAAATAACTTTTTCTCACGAAATCATTTTACATTTTCTTTTTCTACGTAAAATGGCGTTGATAGTGTAAAATTAGCGATTTTTCGTCGTGTAATACTTTCGTATGTGTAGCTCAACTGTCGTGTAACTGGTATCTTTTATATTTTATAAAATAGAACTCACAATATCCCTAATATTTTATAGGCATCTAATAATTTTTTTCAATCCAAGAACCGGGTGAATTTTTTTGAGAGTGCGCTAGTATTCTATTTCTCTTCTCTATTTTCAAGCATGACTATGCCAAAGACAGTCCACAGTATGCATGGTTGGTCAACGATCTCACTAAGGCTGCTCAGAATCGGATACAACAGCCGTTCATTGTTGTCGTGACACATAGACCTCTATTGTGCTCAGTGGAATCCGAACTAGAGTATGTTCATTGTTTTTTCTACAGATATTCTTTCGAATGAATCACTACATTCTAGTCAACACTTGCCCAACTCGACTCTGTTTCAAACAGTCTACCCACTCTTTGTCAAATATCAAGTTCAATTGGTCATTACAGGCCACATGCACGTATACGAGCGAGTATTCTACGATAATACGACAACAATCGTCAATAATACATATGCTAATGTCCATTCACCCGTAATTGTGGTACAAGGAACTGGTGGAGCGCTCGACCGCGACAAATGGTTAGAGCCGCAGTTCTGGTGGAGCAAATCACGCACGCTCGGGTACGGATATGGGCGTGTGACCGTCTCTACGGATAAAATGCAACGGCGCTTGCACTACGAGTATTTGCTCGAACATGATAGAAGGACCTATGATCAATTCTCTATTGTGATTTAATATAACATGTACACCGGCCGGCAAAAGTTTCCCTCTTCCCATCATTCATTTTTTTGTATAGAATTTCTTTTCTCTCAGGTGAAGCCTAGTTAAAAAGATGGCTTAAGTACTTTATTCTAGTGTAGTGTATAATTGATGGCATTTTCTATCAATCAATTGACTTGTAGTATTGACCATTTGTATTGAATGACGTACATTCTTCATTGAAATAGGTAGTAATCAATCATAAACTACCGTAAAATAGTATTTAAGTCAACCTTGTAACCAATATTCACTTGAGAGCTATGGATTCGACACGAAAAAAATGAGAAAAAGAGAGAAGGAAAGACTTCTGCCCAAGAATATTTAATATATATGCTATAAAAATTTTTATAACAGCTGACATTCTGCTCCTTAGTCATAGAGGTGGAAAGGTAGGCACAAAAGGGTCAGAAATGTCACATAACAAATATCGGACAGTTTCCAAATTCTCACCGCTACTAGCCACGCTGATTGGATATGAGTGGATGAGTGTGTGCATGAAGTTAAAAACTCACACTCACATCCAAATTACAGCAAAATGTACCATTGCATACAAACTGGCGCACTACTGCATCATGGTGTGCTCACGATATGCTGTAATAGTGGGACAATATCAGCACAATCGATCATTTGGACAGTTCCTTACTGCAAAAATCAACGCACCAGCTGATACTAGATGGTTAATGAAAACATTGATGTACTTCATTTTGTTTTTCGATGATTGCTAAGCTGTTTTTCGCGATTTTTCGAACGCTATCGTCATTCGACTGGAACAATATTGAGTGTCAGTGGGAGTGAGGGTGTGGCTTTGAATGCTGACTCGGGTGAGATTATGAGTAACTCCTTTTTACATGCGGATGCCCAATCAACAGTCTGGAAAGACCTCTTCGGATGAGCAATCTGAATGTCCCGATCGACAGTTTCTCCTAACTAATGAACTTAATTAATGAAATGCTACTTAGCTTTCGATATAAATTAGAAACTTTTGAGAAATCTGTGTCTACGTAAATCAAATTTTTGTAAAGAGTCTGTCAGTTTATAAAACTACTCGAAACTATTCTATATACGCTACATGTTCTTGCTTTAATTTCAAAATCTATAATTATTTGAAATATCTAGAAATAAAAAATAAAATTGTGACAACACAATGTAAATGTTTTATGCTCTTAACAAATAAGAAGAAAGGAATGAAAATCAGACTTAATCCATTAACGTCATTCGCAGCAATATACTTCAAATACATTTCCAATATATTGAGAATTAATTAACAGAAAGAAACCTGTAGATGACAAAACTTCTATGATTTTTTGTGTCGCTCAAATGCTGCATAAAACATGCTCATCCTTTCTTTATATGCAGTGGTCATGTGCATGTTCCTCTAAATAGGTCTCATTACTCTGATGTTGTTACTATGTACTCATTCAATCATTGATTTTTTTCGCGTTCTTTCTAATTCAAACAAAATATGAGTGCTTTCAAACTTTCGAGTCGAGATATTTATTTCAACGGAACCACTTTGACCGCCGTATGCAAACAGATACATGGTTGAATCGATTTGCATGCTATGCATTGATCTCAATTAATATATTGCCAACATCGGAGAAAAACTTGCTTCAAGATTTCGTGAGAATTTCGCTGGATCGTGCAGTTATTTTAGCTTGAATGGAGTATTATTTAGCTGCATGACAAAAACCAGTAACGGTAGTGAGATTTCAGCAAAGGTTGACCTCTAAAATTTCATTACGAACATTAATGGGAAGTTTTGTTGCTAGTGCATGAAACGTATAAGTAATCATAGAACTTAGAAAACTGACATCCATATTCAATCGTGTTAGACTATACGTGAAATACATGACGCTCACATATAAACTAATATTTTGTCACGTTTTTTCGTAAATAAACATAGATCAATCTTACCTCTCGATTTCTTCCTAGCATTACAGTCAAGGAAAAACATGACGAAGTATCACTGAGAAGGTGTGTTTAGAACTTCTTTTTATGCACACACGCATTCACACACTCATGTCTAAACACTCATATCCACACTCTAAATCGATCTGTATTGTATATGATGAACATGATTTATAGTTTTGAATTGTTCTGCAAAAATATTTCACACGCTCTGTTCGTTTAGAATGTTGGACAGGTCAAAAATCAGTTTGCTTACAACTTTGAGTATCCAGAAAAGATGCAATTAAAGTGACAATAATTGTTTTTGAAAAAGAATATAAGAAAATAATCAAGTCAGTTCGGAAGGTATGCACTACAGTTGATGCTCACGTGATTCTCAACCAAATGGAAATACATATTCGTCCTTTGTTTTTTTCGTTCATGCTGTAAGGTATAGCAACAAGACTCTAATGAGCCTTATCTCCAGATTGATCGCACCTTCTTGAATAAATATGACTCTGCTTCGCGTATCAAATGAAAATTCTATGTAAAAAAATTCCATTTTCTCAGAACTATGTAGCAACCAAATTTGCATTTAGGCATGCTATGGTCTCGAATTCTTCTAGAGCTTCTTTAGTCTCACTGAGCTCTACTCATAGCCAAAATTTAGGCTCGAACGACGTCCGACAGTTAAATGCGTTTTCCCCGTTAGAAAAAGTCTTCATCTCAGAAATATTACATTAAATCCTACTCTAAAATACTTCAAAGATCTTACCGTTACACAAGATTTTTTATAATATTATAGTAGGTTTTAATTTAAGACTTCAGAGATGGAAGTGCTCCGTACGATTTACACCTGATCTTACAAGATCAATGGGGCGATCTTGTAAGATTTTACCATCTACTATTTCACTTGAGTTCATACTAATATTTGAAAAGACCTAATCAAAATCTAGATACCTTGATGAAGTGTTCTCTTCTTTCAGATGTATATACTCAATAAAATAAACCGTTTATTTGCATTAGATAAATTCTCGTTCCTGCTTAATCTTTTAGTCAAACTTTATTGGCCAGATAATGTACTACTTAAATATTGGCATACTGTAAGACACTAGATGAAACTTCCTCAGCCTATTTTGTCTTCAATTATGTACTTGACTCATGGTTCCGAAGCAATGGATCCTATGCGATAATTTAGTTATTGCAAAACTTCTAAATTTAGCTTACAAATGATAAAAAACTTCCTTTTAGAGCCATATTTCTGTAAACATGTTTTAGAAACAGGCACAATTAGAAAAAAAATTGTACAAGCCACAGTCTTCTAACCATGTCCCTAGAGGAAGGGCTGAACGTGAGCTTCTTTTTAAGCGAAACTCAACCGTTGGTATGGGAAGAACTCAAAGTCTTCTGAGAAGAAAGAAAGCCTCCCTCTGGTTACGCCACTAGTTTTACACTAAAAATGCTTTACTTATGCTGCTCTCTATAATTTTCACCAATATAGTCCTTTCCAGAATAAAAATAACATATTATTGCCCCTAATGAGCATATGATAATTATGTTTCTTTTTCAGTTTTTGACTACATCATAAAAACATATTCTGGACTTTCTTATGACCTAAAGATGTCGTACAGATCCCACTAGTCGAAAGTGAATCTATGAAAAAATTACAAGAAAGAAACGCTTTTTAATCCCATTGCTAGTGTACTATATATTATTTAATCGTAAAAAAATAGTTATCAAAGAAATTTTCAATTAAATAGATTCATAATTCATTCCGTTGTCATCGATAAACCCTAAAATAGACCTACTCTATATTTGTTCTCTTTCATCCATTAATACTGATGCATGAATCATCAAAAATAAAATTATTTGGTTGGTTAAATTATTTTTCCTTGTTCTTTCTTTTAAAGACATTATTATGCCAAATAAAACCATATTTGTTCTATGAAGTTCTATCGTTAATCAAACGTCTCATAATATTCAGATAAATCTTTTTTATTATTTTTCAGATGCAACGTGTATGTTTTTGTAAAACAGTTTCTTTATTTAACCATGTTTTACAACCAAGTCAAGCAATAGCACTTTTTTATCAATCATTAATATTTTCATTAAAAAATTTAGCACTTATTAGATGGATTAGTTCAAATGTTGATATTCCAAATGGCTTACAATTACTTATGATTGATCTCAATGGAAATGTTACTATTGATGATGAATTACTTTATAAACAATTTTCCAATCCAAAACGTATGATATTTTTTGTTTTGAGGATTTTATTTTTATTAATATTGATTTTAGGTGATGTAGAACAACAAAAAGATACAATTTCGGTAAGAAATTTTAATTGAAAATAAAATATTCTTTTGTTTTTGTTTTTTTTATGATAAAATTTTTCTTTAGATTTTAAAATGGATTAGTCGTATTGTATTACGCTTAGCAAGTGATTGTTCAATATCATCAAAATCAGATCGTTCAATAGAATTTGAATCATTTAATGATTTTCTTAAACAATTTCATAGTTAGTTTTCACTGCATAAATTTTCTTTTTTTTTTTTTCTTGAATTTTATAATTGCTTTGTTTTTTTCTTTGTTTAGCTGTTTCAACTGATGATCGATCGACATTATCTGATGATGATGAAGGAATTAGTAGTGATGACCTTGATGATGAAGATATTAGTCGAAAAGCTATTCATCGAGCTTTAATGGTATATACATGTTTTTTTTCTTCTATAATTATATTAATTTCTTAAATATTAAAAGTTTATCATACTTAATTAATTCATATCATGAAATTATGGTTTGTCGACCTAAAATTTTTTAGACTTTTTCAATTCAAAATATTTGTTTCTTAGGTTTTTTTCTTCTTCTCATAAATCTGTTTGAAAAGAGAATTAAATTTCATCTTTATTATACTTGAATAAATATTTGAGTTCATCAAGTACGAAACATATGATATCAGAATTGAAGGAAAGTTTTTCTTATTTGCTTCAAGAGAATTATATATCTACTTAGAATTACTCAAAAGAATATTAACTTAGATAGCATGCTTATTTGCTTCCAGAATTAATTGTTAATTTATTATAGCATGTATTCTTTCGAAAAAAAAAACAATACTATACCATTTTTGTTCGATAAAAACATTTTTTTTTGTCATGAGCTCTCGAAAAGATTTATACAATAAATATTTCTCAAATTTATAAGAAAAACAAAATGTTTTCCGAGTGTCAATTTTTGCCGAAAAAAATTCAATCTGATATGTCTGTACTATAATCTAAATAAATGTCAATTTCTTTTTTTTTTTTCTTTTTCTAAGATCTATAATTCAATCATTTTATTTAGAAATGTATCGATTATATAACATCATTTTCAATGACTAATTCTTCAAATAATGATGAAATTAAAATAAATACAAGAGAAATGCAAGATTTTGAAAACAATTCTATTGCACTTTATAATCAAGAAATTATTCAAATTCTTTGCAGTGATACATTAGAATTAGAGATTGAATTAGCACGTGATCTTGTAAGTTTTATTTTGATTGTTTAATCTTTTAATATCATGCATAAAAAATACTTATCTATTTTTAGCGACAATCATCATTTGAATTATCATCAACGTTAACAACACAACCTCTTTCACATGATAATAGATTTTATTCAGTTTGGGTTTGTTTAAAAAAAAAATCATTTTTTTTTAATGTTTTGATTTATTTATATTTTATTTTTTAGGCAGCCTTATGGCGTAATGTAACTCTTGAATATTTACAATTTAATGATCAAAATCAATTAAGAAAAGTTTCATTAGATAATTATGGTAATTTAAATAATTCAATGAATGAAAATCGTCGATGGTCAACAAGAGAAAATGATCGTGTCCTTGATGAAATAGCTAAACAACAAAAAAATTTAAGAAAAACAATTCAATTAAATCGAAAAGACGAATTCGATCATATTTGTTTACATGATAAATTAATGTCAGAAATAAAACAAAAACGTATTTTAAAACCAATTGGTAAAAAAAAATTGAAAAATCTTCGTTTGTTTTTTTTTTCGGGTTTTAATTTTAATTTTGTTTTAGGAAATCAATCATTGAATTCAACAACAAGTTTAGATTCATCTCGAAAACGAATACGTCCTGTTAAAGTTTGTCAATATGAAATTAAAATTTCATTTATCCTTGTTTTTTATTTTTAGGATTTAATGGATAGTGATATCAGTTCTGATGATGATGATGAACAACGAGATGAATATGGTCGAAAACGAGTAGCAGTTATTGACTGTCTTCTTGAATCATCATCTCCATCGTCACCTGAAGATATAATAGATAGTAAAATTTTATTTTTTAGTTTTTAACTATTATTGTTATTATTATTATTATTTTGTTTGATTTTTTTTTCTTTAAAGCTAAAACAAAAAACAAATATAAACGTGTAAGTGAAAATGGTGATGATTATGTGGATTTAACTATGGATGCTTTAACTTTAATGAAAACTAATAATAATACTAAATCATTATCAAAAAAAAAAAATTATACACACATAGAACCTTTTGAATTAGAACATATATCTATGGAAGAAATAATTCGGGTTGGTTTTTTTTTTAATTTTATTTTTATTCTAGTTTTCATCATTGTATTTGTGTTCGTTGGGTATGTTATAATGATAGCACATTATAGCTTGTTGATTGCTATGTTCATTCATAAATATAACCCTATATATGCGTTTAGACATTCATGCATGTATGCACTAGTCAATAGAAGTGAAAGAAAGAAAGAAAGAAAGAAATTGTTAATGAATGTCTCTGAGACTTTTCTTATAGAATTTTTTTACCGACAAGAAAAGGAAAAAAATGATGTTGCCTACGCACGCCATTGTGATCCAACACGCAAGAAAAAAAAAAGAAGGGAAAAGGAAAGAACTGACATAAGGAATAGAAAATATGTTGCTGTAGAAGATCATTCGTCGCTAAAGACGAAGAACAAGCGAGACATTTTCTTCTTTTAGTTGATTTGTTATCCTACTTAACAGAAGACATTAGAAATAAATTGATTTACCATCATACGCACTAATGCAGTTACAAGAACGCATTTTTCAGGTATTTTGAAAATTATTTAATCTTTGCTTGTAACATATACATGTAATCATTTGCTTGAATGAATTCAAGAGTTTTATGTTTTTGCTTTATTTATTTATACTTCTTTTTTTTTTTTTTTTCTTTTTAGCTTATGAAAGATAATTCAAATACATTATCATTAACGTTTGATGAATTTTGTCATATTCGAAATGTAATTACACGAGCTGAATTAGAAACTTTATTATTTGATGAAAAACTATATTCTGAAGTTGCTCAGGGGAAGGTAAATGAAAAAAAAAACAACCAAGAAAAAAAAAGAAAGGATGTTTTTCTTTTTAGTTATGTTTTAATTGTCGAAAAATACATTTTAATCTATTGACATTCACATTTGGTATTCAATGTAATGTTTGCAAACAAAAAGTTTGTCGAAATTGTGTTACACGAGTAGATTTATTATTTACAAAAAAAAAAAAATTTATTTTATAATTAATATTAATTATTTGTAGATTGCTTTGCCACAAGAAAAATTAAATGATGTACCAATTCATACATTTACTCCATTAGCATGTCCACCATCTTTATTAAATTCAGATAGATCTTATTCACTTGATAATCAGTAAGAAATTTGTTTATTTATTATTATTTTTTTTCTATAGGACTGAGTCATCATCATGATGTTTATTTTAAATATAGACTAATATTTTAAAGAATGAATGATTCATTGTTGTTATTCTTTTTACTCGGGTTAAATAGTTAAAATTTTCTTTAAATGTTGATCATATAAGTAAATAATATCAGAGTTTAATAAGATATTATGAAGATTAATTTTGTGAACTTTGGACTTGATAGAAGCTCTACAAATAAATACTTCAGAGAATGTTCTCATAGCTTTCGGGCACATGTGAAAAATAACTCATTAGAATCTCGATGAGTAGAACTAAATTTTTCATAAATTCTTTAGTTTCGAATGCTTTCTTCTAGAAGATATCGACATCGCGAAGACTAAAGGTCGCCCCCCCCCTCCCTAATTGCTTCATTTTCTTAGTGTCAATACGTCTGAAAGAATTGAAGGTTTTTTACAAGTATTTGACACTTTTTGGATGCCGGCATTTTTTTTAGTTTCTTTTTATATACTTCCGTTCGTATGAAAAAATAAAAATATTGGATGTACCCCTAAAAATGCATGTTTTTTTTTTAACTGGAGTCTTTATTGTAAATTCTGGCAAAAATCAGCGTTACATGATATTTTGAAAGAAAAAAGATTAGGTACTCTAAACACTTTTTAATATAAATAGAAAAATGTTTCAACTCAATCAAATATACTGTGGTCGAGAGAAATAGGGGCAACTTTCAATACTTTTGTCAAAAAAAAAACAGCAAAACTTCTATCTGTTCTGATTTTTCGAATTTTATAATTAAATATTCATTTTTAAACTAAATCTAGTGGATAGAAGATACTTTGAAATATATATAGCGCAGCAAAAAAACCAAAGATAAAAAATCTAAAAAATTCCAGTCGGCAAAGAGAAGGGGGTCCATCTTAAGGTTTTTACAACGATAGATGCATCATTCGTTCAAAGTTTCAAAACAATGTCATTAAAATTCTATTTATAAAATAAAATATATCATTTAGATCTCCTCTTACACCAGTAATGAATGATGTATTAAATGATTTAACACATGATGAATCTGAATCTCGTCGTAGTTCAACTCCAGCTAATGTTCATCATATTTCGAATTTAAATAATTGGCATACAAAACCAATTGATATATGTACAGATTGTTTTTTTCTTTTACAACAAATAAGAAAGAAAGCACGACAACGTCATGTTAATCGACCAATAGTCCCATCAAAATCATCATCATTTAATCGTTCACATTATTCATCATCATGTTCACCATCAACTTATAATCTTTCATCATCATCATCTGCATCTTCTATTGCTGCTCTATTAGCTCAAAAACAACAACAACAACAACAACAACAGCAACAATGTTCATTAATACCAAAATCAAATTCTATTCAATCAAATTTAAAACAAGCAAAATCAGTACAAGAATTATCAGGAAATAATGATCCACTACAAACATTAACAACAATAGGTGCAACTGGTGGCACACCAAAAGTTAGTTTATCACGACGTCATCTCTTCCTTAAACTTCAGCCAGCATATGATGGAAAATTAAATAATATTAAAACTGGTTAATAAATTTCAATTTTCTTTCCATATTTCCATCCGGTTTGTTGTTTGTATGTGATATAAGAAAATAAATTAAAATATTAATATTTTTTTTTTGTTTACCTTAAATTTATTTCTAAAAATATCCTATATATCAACTAGTCATTAAATCTGTGTCATACTATAATTTTGTCATTTGTTCGTCTTTTTGTGTCTTTACCAAAATATGTTGATTATCTTATCTTTTTTTTTCTTTCTCTTTTTGAGTATGTAAATAAAAACATGTGTGTGAATATTAACTTTAATACAAAATAAAAGAAAATTATTAGTATTAACGTATATATTGTTTCATTTTTAAAAATTTGTCCATAGATTATTAACTTTTGGCTGTAATTATTATTGGTCGAATTCAAATTTCTACTATTATCACTATTAAGGTATGTTATAAATTAAATATTTGACTTTATAGAAGACAAAAAAATAAAACTTGTTTTTTTTCTTTTTACAGTTGACCTATTAATTTTTTGAAGTATCAATGTTTCATAGAGGAAATTTAAAATAGATCTCATATCACAATATTCAGAATTTATTCTTATTATTATTGTCTTATATTTTGATAGAAAAAAAAAAAAAAAAACCATCTCGATTTTGTTTATCTTAACTTTTTTTTACTAGCATGCAAGTTTCTTTCATTATCTGTTTATCGTTAACGAGCAATAATACTATATCTAATCGACAGCATTGATCTTTCATTCTATTCAGCTGTATGTGACAAAAGTAAACGTATAACTTGTTTACGTGCTTTGCATAGATTGAATTTTTATCAAAATCTGATTTATTACTAGATATATTTTACCGTTATTGTTTATCATGTATTTTCAATTATCATTGCATGTTTCTCTCATTTTTCACCAGGGAATTTCTCTTAACTCAGATGAGACCAGATCATCAAAAAGTTATATGAGTTGTAGTCGGTTCGAGTCATACAAAAAAAACAAAAACGGAAACATCATGGTAAAAGTTTTTCATTACTCTAAAAATGGAAAGAAATTTTCTTCTAGAGTTCATAAAAACATCACAAATTCAACAATGAGAATAAGAATAAAGACGCAAAAGTCAAATAACTTTTGATAATTATCGATGTTTATATCATAAAATTTTATCTTAGTCGTTTAAAATGTTTAGCTATTGACAATGATTAAGTAGTAGGAGTGTAATGAAGGAAAAGAAAAATACTTGCTAATTAATCATGTTCACGTCCGTATTCATAATTTACCTGATGAAAAAAAAACATCGGTCTTTTTATTTTTCTTCTTTCTTTCTGTTTGATTGTATTCTACTTTCTCATCAGTGCGCACACCACCTCAATAAACTCAGTTGTTGACGATGTTCCTTTCTCTCGTTTTTTTTCTGTTTTCATTCTTACAAACCGAACTCAATATATACAAAAAAGAAATGCGAAGCGATGTAAATTTTTACTTATTGCATGTTACTATTCTGAGTACACCTTCCCCCTTTTAACAGTAACATGCCTAACAAAAACTAATAACATTCTCTTGTATGCAAGCGCACAAGCATCCGCATACACATACATTTTATCTATATAGTTTAACAACGCGATGCGAGTGTTGATGGCAACAGCTGTGAAGAGGGAAAAAAAGAAATAACTTTGGTCTATTAGTTGTATCGATCGACGATCGTTACTTGTACCGTGTTTTTTTTTCTTTTACTTCTTTCAGTTTTACTATATTAACCTTGATATATATGATTGATCGTTATTAGCTTTTGATATGAATTATAAATATCAGCAAAAATGAAACATGCCAGATGAGGCAGCATAGTTTCACATGGAGGAACACGATGACTGTTTTTTAGTCTGTCGAAAAATATTTGCTATTAAATATAATAGAATACAGTGTATTCGCGCCTAGATTGTCGACATATGTATACGCATAAGGAAGGAAGAAGATACTCTTTGTTCTTACTCTCGTTTTTTTTTTCTGTACCGCTTTTTTTTCATTCTCTATTTTGCTCTTTTCTCCTTAGGTTTTTTTTTTATTACTCTCCCTTCTTACTAAAGCGTTGGTGTTAGCGGTGGCGTGTAGTGCGATCGACGACAATAACAATAACAAGACCCAATTCCTAACCTCTTTGGAAATGTTCTTGTGATCTATTTCCGATTTTTTTTCAAGTGCTTTCATTTTTACAGTGTAAGTAGCAATAAGAATATGTCTTATTAATCAAATACATGCGTATATAATTTTGCATATACGATAATAAATTTCTTTCTTTTTTTTTTTATTCTCTAATCGAATTAATTGATGTTAAGAAACAGAAAAAAAAACGCATATGTTGCCAACCAAAAACCTACTACTTTTTAGTGTTCCTTTTTTTTGGTTTCTACTTCATTCTATCCAACAAAGTAATAACTGTTTTATGAACAAGAGATTGTTCCGTTAGTATACCAAAGAATTTTTATTGTTAACATATTGTCATTTAAAGAAAATGGATCGAATGAGGAATAACCTGTCAGTTTATAATAGCAAATGTTAATGTGAATAGAATCTATTGCACTTTTAGTTATTATAAAAGACTTTTTATATAATTGCACGCTACACACTCCATTTCCTTTTACTTAAGCACAATTGTACGAACGGAAGTCAACGACTGTTCGTTCATTGTGTCGACTGGTCTACATGTTCATCTTTTTTCTTTCATTTTCTCTTCATCAAATTCACTATTCTCATTTTCTTGTATATTGCTAATCTTGCGTGCAATAGCGCTGACATTGTTGATGGTCGTCACTGACTGGTTAGGCTGATGGAGATGAGTATGTATCGTGTGACGACGAACAGACCGCCATCTTTCTTTCTCTCTCTCTCTCTCGTCTCTTCTCTCTTTCGGTCGGTTTATTTCTTCTTCTCCTTCTTCTGCATCTTCTTTTCATCGGTCTATTCACGTTGTATGTGCGCTTGATTTAGCTTGAGAACAAGGAGAGGGAGAGAGAGATGTGCCTTTGTCTATTATAGATTAAAAAGGAGAGAACCTTACAACGACCTCCGCACGTTCATACACATACACATCTATATATATATATATGTATATATATATATATACATAGTAGTGTACAAGAAATATTTTTAATCAATTGAAAAGAAATGTCAACTATCGTTGCTCACCAGGTAAATTGTTTTCTTTTGGTTTAAAACAATTTTAATTTTCACATGTATTTACATATATAAAAAAAAAATGAAAAAAAGAACAATCGTTTGTTTACTTTGTTCTTATTTTCAATTCAATCGATATAATGTTGTTGATGTAATAGAAGAAAAAACTTTCTTCTCTAACTGTTGAATATAATTGTGTACACATTATTTATCAAAACTCAATGATATTATAACTCCGCCTACTGTCCGTTAAAACATAAACGAAAAGATAATTAAATACTATCGAATATGTTTCATTTTGATATCTTTAATTCACAGTTGGACTATTAGAAATAATACACCCTGTGGATAAGTATTTAATGAAAAAAAAAAAGATATTTTCAATGAATGAATCTAAACCATTAAAATAATTTCTTTTTTCTTTTGCATGAAACTGAACAAAATATGTTTGTAGATGTTATACTGCCAGTTGCGTATAAGTTGAACGGGATAGGTCATTAATCAAATAATAGATAAGCGAGTTGTTTTATCCATCTGTATGGTGTTGATTATCTCGGGTTTTTTTTCTTCCCAACTGTTATAGATGAAAGAAAAAAAATATTGTCTTATTTGATAGATTTCGAATAGAGCAAGAGTTTATAAAGATAACTATCATTGGTTAAATAATGAATCATTGATACTTTATAAGATGTTTTTTTACCATATGTGACCTTTTGGGTGTATATATGACAGAAAAAGGAAAAAAACTATATATATGAGAAATAATGACGCATTATTGCGACACAAAAAAAAAAAGAAGAAAGAAAGAAAAAGAACGACAAAGTCTTCCAACTTTACACTGAAAGGCTTTTACTTGATCGTATCGTGTACATAGATATTTCATACTAAAAAATATTTGTTAAAAGAGACATGGTTAAACGTGAAGAAAAGGTATGAATATACATTTACTAATTGTGTTCATTGCAGAGAGAAAGAGAAAGAGTTTTTTTCTTCTTTTATGATCAGAAGTGATTACATTGTTATCTTTTTTCTTCTAGCCATCACAAACGCCTCCTTCACACCATTTACCCATTGATCCCCATTCAAGTGATCACGTGCAACAACAACAACATTCAACTATAACAACAAATATGTCATTAACAGCTGAACGTGAAGCCTATTTACGATTAGCAGCACATTCAATGGAAACTTCCAGACAAGTTGCACCTAATTTTAATATTCATTCACCAAAAGCTTATGGTGGTTATATCGTAAGTATTCGTATAATTTATTTTTATATATAACAAATAGAATATCTTTTCTAAAAGCATAGTCTAATTGAACGAATGAGTATTATTGTGCTAGTTATTTCTATCGATCATTTATATGCATTTTTATGTCTATTTCGGTTATTTTATCTTTTGTTCGGGTGTTGCCGATCTTGAAATGTTATTGTTCGATTAGAAGATGATTAGAAAAGACGTTTCTATCATTATATTGTTGATGGTCTCATATCATAAGTCTTATTTTATTCTTATATTGATACTCATCTGTATTCGATTCATTTATAAGTCTCTTGAATTTTTATTTTCTATGTTATTAATGGGTCAATCCATTTGTAACCTTGGAAGACCATAATTGAGTCTAGTAATCACCCCAGTAAATGTCTCATTAGGGGAGTAAAGAAAAGAAGGAAGAAGTCTTACTGTGCATGTATATATTTGTGCATCTTTATCTCATAAAAAAAAAAGAAAAGAAAAGAAAAGATGTAGCAGGTTTAGTTGCACATCTAAATAGACAACGTATCTACAATGATATATTTGTGAGATAGAGAAGAAGAGATCATATTTCAGTTAAACTCTATTGATAAAATGAGCTGTT